TGTGTGTGTGTGTGTGTGTGTGTGTGTGTGTGTGTGTGTGTGTGTGTCGATGATGGAATCAAGAGCGATTCGCACTGTGCGAATGTGAATAGTACGACTGTGTTTGATCGACTGCTGTGCACTATACACATTTGAGAAAATCAAGAATAGCCTTTTGATGTGGCACTTAACGTTGTGTTTGTCACCGGCAAACTTGTCTCGAACAGTTCAAATGGCCAACGTTCAAATATTCAACGGTTATTCTCGACATAATCTAAAGGAAATACATTGTTCATCGGTGAATGAGCACGTAAAATAAAAACGATTGAGACACAAACTAAGGCACATTACAGAACATTTTTTACTTGAGATATTTGGGCAAAAAATCACAATGGAGAAAATTCAAGCAAAACTCGATCCTTTTGTGAAAAAATGTACCTCACCGCATGAAGGAAGTGAGCTAGCTGAGTGGGCTGTAATTGAAATGAATATTTTTTTGGCCAGTATAATCAACAAAGTCTCTTTCATTGAATTCTGCGTTTTGATATTGGCACATACAAATCTTGGGCGCCTTATAGTGTATACTCATGGTGACTTTTTTTGTCTTTACTACTTTTATTTACATTTAAAGTTTTCCACGGGCGTACAGCGCGAACAAATGTTCAAATTTTTTAGATTGGGTTAATGATTCAAACAACATTAGCTAGCTATTTCATCTCTCCAAAATGCGACAAATTCAATATATTGTCCGTTCGCAAATTTGTTGTGACTATTAATCAAAATTTAATCCAGATTTGTAGTCCAGGTTTGCATTAAATCATCTTCTCTAGAAAAAAGAGTTCCATCTTCGTCCCATATCTCAAATCGAATGATCGATGTCCTTGCAATTGTTTTTGAAATAAATGTATAATTTGGAAAATATCTGTCTTTTCCGTCAACTGTTGCAGTTTTGTGCATAAATTTTAAACGATAGTTATGGGAATTAAATTTGTTAAATAGCAGAGACTGCTATGACAATTTATGAAAAGAGCCTGGTTGTTAACGAGGCGAGAATTCAATACGATTGTAACAGTTTTTGCATTCTTTTCCGGCCAAACTACCTCATTCGTACTTGGTGGTATGAATAAAAAAATGAATGAATAAAAATACATCAAATATCGTATTTGTCAGTCACATCAAAAATGTACTCATTTTGTATAGAGCTTTTGGTGTGGAATTCTAAATCACACCGAAAATGAGCACACATTTTATGCGACATTAGTGTGAGTCATACTGATACACTACCGTGCAAATGTTTGGAAGCACTAGGTATTTTTCATACAAATTGACCATTTTTGGTGGACTCATTAACATATTTCGGAAACACCTGCACTCTTGATATTTTGTGCATAGTTTCTACAACGTTTCAATAGTAAATCACAGAGGTTTCATCAAAAAATATTGATGAATTTCAAAAATATAGCAATTTGAATTTGTACTGTGTGAAAAATGATCAAATTTGTATAAAGATTAAAACAGATCAAATTCAAATTGATATATTTTTTAAATACGTGAATATTTTTTGATGAAACCTCTGTGATTTACTATTGAAACGTTGTGGAAACTATGCACAAAATATCAAGAGTGCAGGTGTTTCCGAAATATGTTAATGAGTCCACCAAAAATGGTCAATTTGTATGAAAAATACCTAGTTTCCAAACTTTTGCACGGTAGTGTATGTATGGAGAAAATATGGAGAACATTTTGATCACATTTGTAATGTAGATTTTTTTAATAGGAAAGCAATCATCAAAATTATTGCAAAAATAAATTCAGCTGGGGAAATGAATAAATCGGTAAAAATTATAGCAACGCAATGCGGGATTCACACACCAATGTATACATATATATATTATAACCTATAGGTTTAGGAGCGGCGGCAATTTGTGTGATGAAATGAAATTTATTATTTTTGTTTTTGTTTGTGTTGATTAAAATACACGGCGTCCACCACTGACTGGCATATTCATACGTTTGTTGTCGGTGAAACCTCATAAAATGTGTTATGGCTTGAGAATGGGTGCAATAAATCGTTGTCCTCTACATTTGCGGGCCATTTATTGCAATGTCGTCTCATAGCGTTTTTCATTGTGAGAGCAGTATACATTCGCTTTCTCAGTATGGGTGAGTGTGTATACAAACGATAGACTATAAGCTGCGTATCGTCTATGTTTGCTCACAAAGTAACATGGAACTTTCGAGAAAAGTTCTTCGAACGCAAAACAACTAAAAGCTTCAATCAATTTCGCACTTTTTTTCAAAGTTGTATTCGTAACATACACTCGGCTGATTCATTGTTCAAAGTTTAATTGGCGGAATTCAAACGAAAAAAAAAATAAGAAAGAAAAAATAATATTGTGGCGTAATTTGAAGTCGTTTGATTTACTAATGAGGTAAATTGAATATTATGATGAACACAATCAAAAGGGAAACTCGTTTGCAGAAATTCCAGAATATGAAATTACCAAATTGATCAGATCCTGAATATGTGTGTCGTCATACCGGAACTGGTTCACCTGAAATCTTATACTCAATCAAATCGAGAGAAAAAAAAACAACTCTATCCAACGTTTTTAGTCGTTCATATTTTGACCATTTATTGCAGGTGCGTGTACTGTTGCTACATCAAACAAATTTCATGTAATTCAAAGTAATAAAGTATTGTATTTCAAAAAGATGGGACCGTTGACCGTTGTTTATCCATTTATCCACACATTGTCTTTTCCTCTATTCCGGTTTATTTTTAGCTTCGGGTTGTTCGTTCCGTTCGTTTTCCTCGGTTTCGTCGTCTTTTTTGTCATTTTCTCCGTTGGGATCAGTAGCATTTGGTTCATGCATCTTCGATTCAATATATTTTCGCTTATATTCACCGTCTTTGTCATAGATAACGGCCAATTGATCCCATTCCTCCGGCTGATTGTCAATTAGATAATGTGTCACTTTTTCGGAACCACTTCTTTGCTTCTCGGTGCATTTTGAGCAATTGGTGGCTATCGCGTCTGGAAGTGAGCCTAACGAGAAAATCTTTCAGTGCTTTTATCGATTCTGTGATTTGTTTAAATGGATTTGTGTGTATTTTGGCTTTACTTTTCAATTCTTGTGCATCAGGCGTGCACGGGCCTTCATTCAATAAACATTTTACGTAATTTTTTCGCAGTCGATCATTTTTCAACAATTCATCCAGATCGATGTTATCGTATTTGGTTTCGTAGCCCTCTTTCTTTGGCTCATTGGCTGCCGCCAGCCCAATCAAAACGGTACTTATCATCAGACACAAAACAATCAATTTCGACACCATTTTGTCTCGAGAGAAAGAAATAAAACCACTTGCACTACCGAAAACAATAAATTTTCAAACTATTTCTTTCCTATATCCACCAACACCCCAGTCACCAATGTTGAGCTGCACTTCTTTAGAACTATCGAAAAATACAATTGATGTTCTACGGGAGAAATTCCGTCTTTTTATAGTGCAGCCACTGCAAGGGCATCCAAATCATTTCCAATGGTTTTCATGACACTGATTACACTTAAGTGTCCAAATTAATGTCCATTAAATTGTCTTATTAGTTGAATGAAATTCATCTTCATGTATTTCCGCCGCGCATCGATCGGCAACAACGCACAAACGAACGAATAACAAGAGAAAAAAGCCATTAGAAAAACCGTACACTCTCTCAGATAACTTAAAATCGGTTGCGTTTCGATGTTCGTTCTCCAAAAAGCGTATTACGCAACAATCAACCGTTTATGGTTACCCACATTAATCTAGCTCGCCCATAATCTTAGTTGGTTTTTCATATTCGATAAACGAGTTTGGTTTTCATCGTGAGACAGCTGGAATATACAACCGAAGAAAGAAACATACGATAATTTTGCAATATTTGGCGCCAGCTCGGAAACACATCATAAATGTACACACCAAAATGCTGAAGCCGAAACTGAAAAAATTTGAATGTGAATCGACCGAATTTATTGAAAAGACACCGATTAAATGCTATTTTTGTCAGTGTCGCAATTCAAGATTAATTTTAAGTGTATTTTTGTTAATGAATTACCGATTTACGTATGACTCTGCATTAAATTGTTGGCATCGTTTGTTTACTTAGTTTTTTTTTCGTTTATTGAAGTGCGTGACCAGACTTGGCCAGCCTGAAATACTGAAACTTGATAATTGGTAAATAAGTTAATAACAATTGATCATATTGCTTTTCCTCTCAGCATTACCTTCACTTTACATCTCTAGCCAGAGCCAGTCGAGACTTTAGTTCGTTGTTTTTACTAGCCAAAGGCGGTATGTTACTTGTCACACACAAATTCTAAACTTACCGAAGCATCCCGCAAGCAAAAAATCCAATATTTGTACGCGATTATATCAGCAATATAAGAGTCAATAGTGATTAGTGTCTGTCATGTGAATAGAAAGTCAAGTGTGTTGTCGGTGTGTTGTGGTGAAAAATATGAATAATTTATGGTAAAAGATGCAAAAAGAAGACGTATGTGTACGAATTTGTGCCGCATCAAATGTGCTTGTTCACCGTGCCATCGAAATCATGACCAAATTTGAATGGAATCAGACTATTTAGCGCCGTCAAGCCATTTGAACGATGCGATGTGTATCGATTAACTTATAACCACAGTCAATTATGACATGTGTATGTATATCTGATTCATTTTCGATGGCAAACCCCAATTGATATGCCAATTTCGGAAACCGAGAGACCAAAGCAGATAACGAACATCGTAAATCGCGTGTATGTGTATCGACCGTAAATCGGATGGAACAAAATTATGAAAAGCCCATATAGATGCGAGGTAGGCACACCGCCTGCTCACACACACACACACACACGCACGTACACACAAGCAACAATCATAACATTATGCATTATTGGGTTGAGG